GTGTCAATTTATTTCAAATGTCAATCACTGCATCATTTTAATTTGGCAATCTTAATTACACATTTATTCTTCCGCTCCTAGAATATCATCATACAAAACAGTGAAGGAGAGTTTTGCTTCAGGTTACATCCAGAATACTTAACTCCTTTGGAAGATATTTAGATATTATCAATAAATTTGAACAACACACCTTATTCCTATCACAGTGTCTTTACACTCAGTAGATTTTGTGGTAACCTACATGTTTGTCTGTCGTATTGGCTATGCACAAGTTCAGGGATGCCAAAAATAACACTGAGCTAGGCATTTGGACATTTATCTTTCAAGGTTGGAAAAAAATATAATGGCCAAAGCCAATTTTGTTATGTATCACTAAATTGAAATAGCTATTTTTCAAACATTTCTCAAACCAAATCTTGTATGGAGACCCAATATATAAAAACAGTGCTGCACAGGGGTGCCTGGGTGGCACAGTTGGTTAAGCGTCTGACTCTTGGTTTCTACTCAGGTCATGATCTCAGGGTCATGAAATAGAGCCCCATGTCAGGCTCCACGCTCAGCGCAGAGTCTGCTTGAGACTCTCTCTCCCTCTGCCCCCACCCTCCACGTGCTCTTTCTCTCAAATAAATAAATCTTTAAAAAAGCAAAACAAAGCAGTGCTGTGCTGGCTGAAGGAGGGAGAAGATGCTGGACCCTTGCTCCTGTGAGTCACCTTCTCAGAACCTGACATCTCTATCAAATACAGTTTTAAAACCATCGAGCTAAACCAAAGAACTTTATTTTTTTATTTTTTTTAAGATTTTATTTATTTGAGAGAGAGCATGCCCACAAGTAAGGGGAGAGGCAGTGGGAGAGGGAGAAGCAGGCTTCCTGCTGAGCAGGGAGCCTGATAACAGGGCTCCATCCCAGGACCCTGGGACCATGACCCAAGCCAAAGGCAGACACTTAACCGACTGAGCCACCCAGGTGCTCCTAAACCAAAGTATCTCCCATGAAATCTAAGAAAGGAATTGAATGGGAGCCAGACGTGATAGAACAAGCCCTATTTACATTTTTTAATTTTTTTTATTATTACGTTGATCACCATACATCATTAGTTTTTGATGTAGTGTTCCATGATCTATTGTTTGCGTACAACACCCAGTGCTCCATGCAGTACGTGTCCTCTTTAATACCCATCACCAGGCTAACCCCTCCCCCCGCCCCCTCCCCTCTAGAACCCTCAGTTTGTTTCTCAGAGTCCATAGTCTCTCATGGTTCGTCTCTCCCTCCAATTTCCCCCCCTTCATTCTTCCCTTCCTGCTATCTTCTTCTTCTTCTTTTTTTTTTTAATAAACCAAAGAACTTTTAAAGAAGGATTTGACGCTGTGAAGGGGATGAAAAGACAAACTACAGGCTGAAGGGAAATATTTGAAAACCACACAGCCCACAGGAAATAAACGTGTAATTAGAAAATGAGCAAAATACGTGACCAGCTGGCAAATAAACACATAAAAAATTCAACATTATTAGCCGTTAGGGAACAGATTAAAACCACAATGAGATATCACTACATATCTATCAGAATAGCTAAAATAAAAAATAGTGGCAATAAAAATGCTAGTGATGATGCAAAGAAATTGGATTACTTACACATTGCTGGTAGGAATGTAAAATGGTACAGCCAGTCTGGAAAAGAATATGGCAGTTTCTTATAAAACTAAACATGAGTTTACCATATATCAGTTGCACTTTTGGGCCTTTGTCCCAGAGAAATTAAAACACAAAAACCTGTACCAATTAATAATACTTCTGTATTACTCTTTATCCCCCTATAGTTATCAGCTCTTGGCATATTGTATATTTACTTATTTGTTTGTTTAATGTCTAGCTCATTCCACTAGAATGTAAGATTTATTATGAACAGGGATTTCAGTTGTATTCATTGCTATATTCCCAACATCAAGAACAGTACCTAGCATTAGTAAGTAGTAAGTTGGTTAATCAATCAATCAATGGAAAAGGAGTATAAAGCAGATTTTGGAAGAGAATCCTGCCAAACTTATATATATCTCCATCTGAATCTACCCCTGTATGGAGTCTGAGTAGCTCAGACAATTTTGAATGGTCTGATTTCTAAGGTAAGAACTAGGAGTATCTCCCATGAAATCTCAGAAAGGAATTGAATGGGAGCCAGATGTGATAGAACAAGCCCTATTTACATTAAAGTGAACACCAGGAATTTTTTTTTAACACTGTGACTGGTAACTCCCATTATATGAGTCTACATTAAGAGTCTTCAGAAGGAAGCTTATAATGTAGGTGGAGGGAATAAAATTGTACAAACAATAGGACAAGATAGGGTTAAATCAGTATCATAAGAGAAATTCAGGCATCTTTGTGGAATCAAAGGAGGTTGGCTTTGGTATTAGGAAAGGCTTTATGGAAGGACTGGTATTTATTTTGGAACTTGATATTTATGTGGAACTTAAATTTTTTGGATAAAATTTAGCAAGTGGAAATAAATCAGGAGAGTATTTCTAGTGGATGGAACAAAGAAAAGATTGGAGGATCTGTGTATACATTGTGTGTGTGTGTGTGTGTGTGTGTTTTGAATAGAAATAATGGAATAATGCTTTGGGGAATAGCAGGTGCAGTAGTGAGATGACTGTGAGACTTACAATGTAGAAAGTGATTTTAAGATGCCTGGCTCAGGCCCTTGCATGTGGGGGATACAGAATGAATGTTACTTCTCTTTCTCCCAGGCCATTTTGAGGAAAAATTGGGAGTTCTGGCTTAGGGGAGAAAACGAGCCAAAACACTGAAGCCGTAGCACTGAGAAGCACCCCTGAGAGTGTAACTCATCATGAGACTTTCAGTTCCCTGACAGGAAGCTTTTGAGTTTCCATTTTGATTGATTTTGTCTGAATTTATTTGGCACCTAATATTTATTTATTTATTTATTTATTACATTTATTACATTTATTTAGTTTAGCATTGAATATTATAAAAAGGGGCCAAATAAGGTTACATATCTAAGGTGAGAATTTTGTACAAATAAACTCAGAATTCCTATTCTAAAAATCACTTACTGAGCTCTAATTTTTTTAAATCTGAAGGGAATTAATTTCTCTTGGAACATCTCTTCATCAGGCAATAGAGTTCCAGTTTATATGCATTTGGTGCAAATTATAAAGCATAATTTTTTAGTTAAAACCTTAAAATGAAATCTATTTAACAAGAAATTTAGACAGAAATGATTGTACTATATTCAGGATCTTAGCCTTTAACGATATTGGCTTTTGTTTTAATACGTAATGCAGTAAAAAAAACAAATACTTAATTGCTGATTAGCTCTCTTTAGAGTCAGAGAAGTGCTTCTAAGAATGTATTTAATAGAGATCTGGCATAAGTTATTGAGAGAGAATAACTTTTCCCAGATTAGATGTTCCTACCTTAGAGATGAAAGAACATGATTTTCATCTACTCTGTGATATTCTTTCTAATGTCCTTTGAAATATCCTTTTTGATCTCTACAAAAGAGAGTAGCTTTGTTTGGAGTAGCTCAAAGTGCTTTTTGCATACTTACAGCTTAAGTAACATTTTAAAAATGAATTCAGCTTTCGTGTAAAGTTAACAATTCCATTTTTCCTCCACGTAAGTGTCACGGAAAGAGCCAGAACATGGTGTTCAATAACATGGCATGTGAGCTTTGGCAGATCACTTAATCTTAGCAAGCCTTAGCTTCTTCAACTGTAAATGTCTGCTTGAAAACTAAGGTAACTGAAGCATTCTCTGAAACGATATAGATCTCTTCTCACCCTCTTTGTTTTTCTTTTCATTTGCCCAATTGCATTCCTTAGTAGCCCACTGTGGGTCACTTATAGGAACTTTAGGCAATCCACCAAATACAAGCTATCTTTTCAACCCACTCACAGCAAACTTCCTGGGTCTTCCCTTTACATTTCTAGATTCCCTTTCACTGTGGTAAAGAAAACCGACCTGCTTTATCCTCTCTCCTTTACCCTTGTTCCACATAGACTATGACTGTACTTCTCTCTGAAAATGCTGTCATTCCAATTCAAAGCTCTGCATAGAATCTTATAATGTAATCGTTAGTTTTCATATATGGTATTTATTTATACTTAGTTTTTCAGGTTTTTTTTTAATAAATAAGCTTTTAGAATCTTTTTAAGTTTCCCTTTTACTATAATAGGCATTTAAAAAATGTTTCTGATTACTTGATTTTGTGATGTATAGTGACTTCTTTGAAAACTGCATGTTGACTTTTTAGGGTTTTTTGTTTTGTTTTGTTTTAGGTGAACAGCCAAATTTAGGGGTACTTTCACTGGAAAATTAATACATATATTTTAATTTTCAGGTCATCTGTCATATCAAATATGCATGTTGTCATAGTTGAGAGTGGCAGTTGAAATGTAGCTACTTAAAATGTGGGTGGAAAAAGCCTTGGGTTAGTAGGTAAGCGTAAGATCATAGTACTCTATTGTTATCTGAATTTGAGAAGAATAATCAGTTGTGATGTTTTACATTTGTTTTCAATTTGCCTATTGGTAAAACATACCTTTTTATTTCTATATGCATATTGTTTTCAATTTGTCTTCTATTTTTAAGGCAAAGTTTGTATTAGATATTTAAAGGTACGTTAATATAAACATTTTAGCAAAGTGTGATTATTAATGGGAAAAGACAATAGGAATAACAATAGTTTGCCTTTCAAAGATGTATTGTTGTTATTGGCATCTTTATTATAGTGTCTGTTACCTTCCAGTGTTGAGATTTTCCAAATGTCTGGCCAATTCTTTCTATACTTAGGTGTTATATAAAAGAAGAACAGAACAGCAAAATCCTGTTCAAGGATTTTGGTGTTGCACTGTGACTTGCTTTTATATTTTAATGTTTTGTTTAGACTTTGAAAAGCTTTATAAATAACCAAGATCACTTTTTCTTAAGGTCATGGCTTTCATATAAAATCTTTCTTTCTTTGTTCTTTTTAAATCTAGGTGACTGTGGGGATCATGTTGTCATTATGAACACAAGGCACATTGCATTTTCTGGAAATAAATGGGAACAAAAAGTATACTCCTCACATACTGGGTAAGATAAAGCCATTGTCCAACAGACATATGAAAAAGTGCTTACATCACTAACCATCAGGAAATGGCCAGTCAAAACCACAATGAGATACTACCTTACCCCTGTCAGCATGGCCAGAATCAAGAAGACAATACATAACAAATGTTGATGAGGATGTGGAGAAAAAGGAACCTTCATCCACTGTTGGTGGGAATGTAAACTGGTGCAGCCACTGTGGAAAACAGTATGTAGGTTCCACAAAAAATTAAAAATAGAACTACCCTATGATCCACTATTTCCGCTACTTAGGTATTTAGCCAAAGAAAATGAAAACACTAATTTGTGAATACATATATACCCCTATGTGTATTGCATTATTTATAATAGGCAAGATATAGAAAAGCAATCAAGTGTCCACTGATAGATGAATGGATAATGATGTACACATGTGCACATGCACTGGAATATTACTCAGCCACAAAAAAGGATGCAGTCTTGCCATTTGCAACAATATGAGTATATAATGTTAAGTGAAGACTCGGAGAAAGATAAATAACATGCGATTTCACTTATATATGGAATCTAAAAAACAAATAAATAGGGACACCTGGGTGGCTCAGTCCATTAAGCGTCTGCCTTCAGCTCAGGTCATGATCCCGGGGTCCTGGGATTGAGCCCCGCGTCGGGCTCCCTGCTCAGTGGGAGGCCTGCTTCTCCCTCTCCCTCTGCTCCCCTGTTCCTGCTCTCTTTCTCTCTCAAATAAGTAAATAATCTTTAAAAAAAAATAAATAAATGAATAAACAAAAAGCAGAATCAGAGCTATAAATATAAAGAACAAATTGATGATTGCTAGAGGGGATGAGAGTGGAGGGGATGGGCAAAATGGGTGAAGGGGAATGGGAGATACAGACTTCCAGTTATGGAGTGAATAAGTCACGGGGATAAAAGGTTCCGAATGGGAATATAGTCGGTGGTATTGTAATAGCATTGTATAGCATAACATACAGAGTTGTTGAATCACTAAGTTGTACACCTGAAACTAATGTAACATCATGTGTTAGCTATACTCAAAAAAAAGAGATCATTGTCAAGGAAGATAGGTAGTTGAAATATATTACTTTAAAAATACTCTTGGTCTTACTATGGGTGCCGGGCTGGCTCAGTTGGAAGAGATGCCTCTTCATCTCAGGGTTATGAGTGTGAGCTCCATGTTTGGTCTAGAGAATATTTAAAAAAAAATTTTTTTTTAAATAAATAAGTAAACAAACCCATCCCTTAAAAAAAAGGAATACTATAGATCTCACTTAAAAAGCTATTTTCAAAAATTGGCATTTAAGAAAATACTAATTTTGTATATGCTACATATATAATTTAATCAAAAAACCCACAGAACTGTACCAAATACTAGTTATTAGTGACAGTATTTGTTTTTCCTGGGAGCATTTCACATAACTTCTCTGGTTTAGATTATTCTCATTTTTTAGTCAGTCTTCTCAATTTTTTCTTTCTGTTTCCTATAATTCATGTTACTGCTATTTCCTGAACCATAATACATGAGACGTTTAAGGAATGGTGAACCAAATCCCCAAGTTTGGAAGATACCTAAAATCCCCACAACATACCTTTCAAGATCCAGGTCTCTCTGCCAGTGTTTGAATAATAACCATCTTGTGGCTTGTAAGGCAGCCCATTCATTCCACCTTTGAAATGGTTTAAATTTTAGAAAGCTCTTTATGCTATTGAATCATAATCTGTTTTTCTGCAGCTTTCATACTGGTCTTAGTTCTCCTCTTTGGACAGTGTAAAATAATCATATCTCTTCCACAGGACATCCTTCACGTAATTTTGAGAAAGGGATGAATAAGAGCCCATTGATTTATCTTTTCCCTAGGCTAAACATGTATAGTTTCTTCAGAGTTCTTCCTTTGGCTTCCCTTTGACTATTCGCCTGTGTATCTTGGTCACTCTCTAGATAGAGTCATTTCTTGTCAGTGTCTTTCGTAACTAAATATACTCAACTGGCTATGTTCTGATGGTTTCCTGGTATATTGGGAGTCCTCCATTTTTCAGTTGCAGTCCTCTATTGCAACAGAACTTTTCTTCAAGGCCATATCACTGGGTGGTAGTACACTGAGTTCATGATCAGCTAAAACTCCCAAGTCTTTCTTAAACATGCTGCTGTTCAACCATGTATCTTCCTTCTTGTATGTTTTAGTTGCATTTTAACCCAACTGCAATACCTTAGTTAAATTTTATCTCCAGCCTTTTAAAATCTTTTGAGATCTTGATTGTGTCATGTAATGTGTTAGTTAACCCTTCTGCTTCAGGTCATATATAAATTTAATTAAGCATACCTTCTATACTATCATGTAAGATATGGTTAGAAATGTTGACCTTTCATGGGTTCCTGGGTGGCTCAGTCAGTTAAGCGGCTGACTCTTGATTTCAGCTCAGGGTCCTGGGATCAAGCCCCACATAGGGCTGTATGCTCAGTGGGGAGTCTGCTTGAGATTCTCTCTCTCCTTTTACCCCTCTCCCCACTCATGCTCTCTCTCTAAAATAAATAAATAGATCTTTAAAAAAAAAAGAAATGTTAGCCTTTCATTCTTGATTAAAATTATTATTTTATTTCCAAGTCCACCTTCGTCTTAGACAAGCAGACTTTAATATCCCCCCTAAGTAGGTCTTAAATACTGGGAATAACTTTTTTGCTTCCATTAGCCATCCTTTGCCCACATAAATGCCCAAGTAAATATTCACATCTGGCTTTAGTAATTTCTACTATTAGGAAATCTCTACAGATAAACCAAGTTCTATAAAATTTAGAGATAATGGGGGAAGGAAATATGAAAAGTCAGGCTAACATAATGTGATAAAAGCATAAAGGGGAAGTATTGACAAAAAATGCTATAGTAATTACTGTAGCAATAATGTCTGTAGTGATACTGCAGATGAAGGAAAATAATAGCAGTGCTGGTAGCGAATAGCTAGTGCAATGTACCCTTTGCTGGTGGTGTCCTTTTCAGTAAAACTCTCTTATCTATGGATGAAAATCTAAACTGCTGTAAATTATTGGTACCCAGCTACCCCTTCTGCTTCAGAATCCTTCATTTTAGCCAACATACTGCTATTTCTTGCCTCTCTGCCTTTGCATGTGTTATTCTCCTTCACAGGAGTGTTTCTCAAGAACTCTCATGTTTATCCATTAAAATCTGACTCAGGTATCACCTCTTCTGGAAGTCCTTCCCTATTTCCTCCTCCCCCGTAGGGTTAGTCACTTTTTGTTTCTGTTTCTCCTGACTCTTCACTTTGTTCCTTCACCTCACTTCAGGTACCACTCTTATTATGCTCATAACACTGTTACATTATGTATTCAAAATTTAACTCTCTAGTTGTAAAAATGTTAATATATGATAATTTTAGAAAATGCAGAAAAATGTAAAGAAGGAACTAAAAATCATTTTTCATCCTGTGGACTAAATATTTTAATACATACACAAGTTTACATCCTTTTTCACTTTATATAAAATTCCCAGAAAGCTTTTTTATAAATATTGTCAGTCACTGTGTAGTAGTGCACAATATGATTTGCATATATAATGATTGTTCTATTTTGTAAAATTAAAATTTTTAATTTCATAAAGAGCCGAAAAACATCTTTATCCATTAGGCTTTTTCAATATATAGGGTAATCTAAAATAAAACTAGAAATGTAACGAATTTCGAGATCAAAGGGATGATAATAGGTCTTTTAAGAGGTATTTCTAAATACTACTGTAATATTGCACTAGGAGTGCATAAGGATGCCTGACAGTACTGCCATAAAAATGGCTTAACAATAAGATTCTGCTACTTCGATGGGCATCGGATTGTTTACATTTGCATTATAATAAGGTATCGATGCTTTTCTTAGCACTTTCTCTGCATATTTTATCTATTAAGAATATTAATCCACTATTAGATAGTTTACTTTTTACGAATTTTCTTTATATCCTTTGTTGTATGGTTATTTAACTTTTATATAATTAAATCTCTCTTTTCCCTTGTAATTTCTTCTGTGTTTTCCAGTCTCAGAAAATCTTTTCTCATCTAAATATTTCATAAACATTCACTTCTCATGGTTTTAGAGGTCAGGCGAGATGTGTATGTGTGCACCTTGAACTTTGACATCTAACTGTTCAGTCATCTAAAGTGTATTGATATGAGTTAGAAATACAGTCTACTGTTAGATGCCTCAGTAGAATTCACTTAGTCATTTTTCCTGTGGACAGGATACCGTTATATTTATTGTATAACCCCAGCACTCAGCACAATAGGCATTCAGTATTTACTGAATTAATTTGAGTTGAAAAAAATTTGACTAACATTTAAAACAAAGTTTCGTCTCTTCCATTCAGGCTATCCCTGGAGGAAGAAGTGTAATTACTTTTTCACCAGTAAAAATCAACTGAGTATTTATTACACTATGCAAGTCATTTGTATACTCAGAATTTTATGCTCTCTCTCCAGATTCTCCTGAAATAAAACATAAATGGTATTATGCTTTAGAATTTGGCATCCCAGTGTTGAAAACAGAGATGTGATCTTTAGCGTAGAAGGTGTAAAGTACTTTTTTCCATGGAGAGAATGAATACAGGAATTGAAGTCTAGACAGGTATTTCTTTTTCTGAAACTGAAATTCCTTGAAACAGATGCAAGAGTATCACTTTGAAAATTATCCATCTTTCTCAGCAAACTTCTAAATCTGCTTCTTCCATTTTATTCCTAAGATGTGATTCTTTCAAATGTTTTCAGGTCTTGTCGAAAGAAACTTATGAAAGGAATCACATTTTAGGTAATCTTTAACTTCTTTTGCAGAGTGTACTGAGTTTATGTTTTCTTTTCCCCTTCCTCAGAAATCATTTAGGCTATATTTATCCATTCAGCATAATGAAACCTTACATCTGTATATTGTTTTTGTTTTAAATTTCTTAAGCAGTTTCACAAACATTTTCTCATTTGACTCTTGTAAAAATCTTGAGAGGTAGATAGAGCAGATAGTATCATTTTCTCATGTGAATAAACTCATATAAAAAGGTAAAATGAGTTAACTAATATTATACTGGTAGCCACTGGTAAACCTAGATTCTTGACTGGAATATGGGGCATCCAAGTTACTAAGCTGCCACCACTATGATCCCAAATATATATATATCCCATATACATGTGTGTATGTGTATATGTATGTGTGTGTGTATGTATATGTATATGTATGTATGTATATATACTTTTTAACCTCTACTCATTTTATATATTTTTATGTGAATTCAGTGAAATATTTTATTACTTATAAGACCAGCGTATAACTCTTAGTGGTCTTTTACCAATTGTTAATAGGAAACAGGATCATCCCCTCTTCAGAGTATGAACTTGACTTTAGAACCAAAGTGGTCTACCACTATTTTCCCCAAACTTGACCCCTAGGCTATACAGACATTCTGACTTGGCAGGAAATGTGAAGCATATTGGCTCACTGCTTTTTCTTTCTTAATTCAAGCAGGATAAACTACCCCATAATGAATGAATGAATCAATGAATCAATGAATGAAAACTTTAAATTCCCTTGAAAGGTAATTATGCCATGAATTTTCCAAGATGTGGAACTTTTATGAAACAATGATAGTTGACCACTTAAAAAGAACAGCATTTCAAATAGCATAGGTTACTACTTAATTTTTTTAAGACACTAATGAACAGCATAGTTGCCTAAAACAATAATTTTATAATAAAAATAGTTTTCACATTATAAAACATTCATTTCAAGAATACTATATCATAGCCTACTCCCAGTTTTAATGTCTTTGCTTCTTTTCACAGCTATCCAGGTGGATTTAAACAAGTAACAGCTGCTCAGCTTCACCAGAAGGATCCAGTAGCAGTAAGTTTATTGTATTTTTTATTATTTATCATCTGTGGAAAGACGTTCAGAAACTGTTTTTCCAGTCTTGCTTCTCTTCTAATGTAGCTAGCATGCAAGGCTATAAATTCTGCGCTTTAACTGTCTCACAAGTTTTGATAACTATTAACCCATTATTATTCAAATCTATATATTTTCTAAATACTATTTACTATGTTTTTCATGTAGCCAAACAGTTTTGTTGCTTTTCTTTTTAATTACTTGATACCAGCCTGATTACCTAGAATATGATATGTTCACGAAAACATCTTGGAGAGCATTGTTTGTATCTATGTATGTTTATATATCCATTATATCAAATATGCAAAGTATGTTGTTCCAATCAAAAGTCTTACCTTTTTTTGTTCATTTGATTTATTGATTACCTGAAAGAGTTATGTTACATTCTCAATTGTGGATTTATTTTTTCCCTGTAGTTCTGGCAGTTTTAGCTTTGTATATTTTGAAGATTTAGTGTTAGATGAATTTAAGTATGGAATTATACTATTCCTAGGAATTAATCAGCATATGTACTTGGCCCTTTTTATCTCCAATAATGCTTTTTAACTCCAGATGTATTTTTTTTATATTAATAAGCTGCATCAGTCTTCTTTTGATAGTGTTTGCCTGAAATGTCATTTTACTTTACCTTTAAACTAGATTTTATTTTTTCCTCTCTTTCTTTCTTGCCTTCTTTTGGATTGAGTTTATTTATTAGAAGTCTAAGATTAATCAGTATCTTTATTTTCCTCCAGATCAAATCAAGGTCCTTAGAAGATTTTTAACACCTACTCTCCCTCACAGTTATGATTCTTTCTCTAGTCAACAATTTTTAAAACCCTTCCAATTCAACATTCTTGTTATTGTTTTACATAGTTACTGATTTTTTATGATTCTTTTTGCTTATAAATCCTTTCAGATAACAGCCTTCCTTTGGGATTAATTTCCTTCTCGAAATACTTCTTTGGACATTCCTATCATAACATTCTCTTAATAGTAAACTCATTTTTGTCTGAAACTATCTTTATTTTTGACTTCTTTCTTGAAAGTTAGTTTTGCTTATTCAGTATATGCGATTCTAGGATAACTATTCTCTTTCACCTGTTTGAAGCTATTGTTCAAAGAGATTTTAGTTTCTGTTACTGCTATTGATAAATCACATGTCAGTTTAACTGTTTCTTTGTATGTATTTTGTCTTCTTTTTGGATACTTTTGAGATCTTTCCTTTGGCATTGGTTTTCCTGTTTCTATTCAAGTTTTGTTATTTATTTTGCTTGAGGACTGGTATCTTGAGTTCTGAAAATTTGTCAGCTCTTACATCTTTTAAATATGGGTCCCTTTATTCTTTATCTGTTCTTTCCTTTTGGAAATCTGGTTATATTTACAGTAGATTGTCTCATTTCATTGTACATGATTCATTAGCTCTCTTGCATATTTTATATGTCCCTGTCTGTACTGCATTGTCGATAATTTCTTTATGTCTATGTTCTAGTTCTCTGTCTTTTTACCTGTGTTTCATCTGATCAATCCTTTTATTGAGTTTCTAATTTGAATTATTATATTTTTTTCTTGAAGATTTACTGTTTGTCTTTTTTTTTCAAGTTTGCTGGTCAGTTTTTTTTTTTAATTTTTTATTGTTATGTTAATCACCATACATTACATCATTAGTTTTTGATGTAGTGTTCCATGATTCATTGTTTGTGCATAACACCCAGTGCTCCACGCAGAACGTGCCCTCTTTAATACCCATCACCAGGCTAACCCATCCCCCCCCCCCTCCCCTCTAGAACCCTCAGTTTGTTTTTCAGAGTCCATTGTCTCTCATGGTTCGTCTCCCCCTCCGACTTACTCCCCTTCATTCTTCCCCTCCTGCTATCTTCTTCTTTTTTTTTTTCTGCTGGTCAGTTTTGATAGTTTTTCTGTTTCTTTGTCATACTTGGGTTCCTTATTTTTTTAAGCCTAGTAAACATAATTCTTAGTGTTTATATCTGATTCTAATATTTGTGGTCTTTGTGGATCTGTAATATATTGTTTCTGCTCAGAATACTTGATAAGCTCATGTACCTTGAAACTTCATCACTGAGAATTCTTTGAGACTTATATCTTCAAAGTGGATTTCTTCATAAAAATTTGCTTAGCGGGGGGACCTGGTGGCTTAGTTAAGTGCCCGACTCTTGGTTTCCATTCATGTCATGATCTCAGGGTTGTGAGATTGAGCCCCACGCCGGGCTTTGCCTTCAGTGGGAGTCTGCTTGGGATTCTGTCTCCCTCTCCCTCTGCCCTTCCCCCTTCTCCTGCACGTGCTCTCTCTTTCTCTAAAGTAAATAAATAAATCTTAAAAAAAAAAAAAGATTGGCTTAGCTTCTGATAGGTGCATGGGGCTATACCAACCTAAGACCTCTTTAAGCTATACTTTATAGACTTCTGGGTTTTGATCCCCATTTTAAAAAGGGTGAATTTGGGGCCTCGAGGCCTTCTGCAGTCAGGCTCATGCTTCTAGTTTCCTGTCAGGAAAGATTTTTATTTTTTAATTTCCCTACTCTATACCCTGGATATTGACTTCTGTTGAAAATCTAGGTTTATGAGGAAGTCTTTGATCTTACTTCCTGACCAAAAAAGAGGTAGTCCTTTGAAATCCAAGCCCTGCACTAAGCTGATGCCCTCTGGGCAAATGCCAGCCTTAGGACTCTTTTTTGTACTACTTTCTCCTACTTCTGGCCTCTAGTTGCTTCCATGCTTTAGAAAAGATTTTTTAAAACAATATTATTAATTTCATTAATATTTATTTCTTTATCATTTGAGTTATATACTAGACATTTCTAATCTAAATATTAGCTGTCAATATTGCTAAAAACAAAGTCTCCTGTTGCCATTTCACAATTTTATTTTTCCTTCCTTAATTCTTTGTAACTCAGTCTTTGAACTATACTCATAGAATAGATAATAACATTTTCCCTATTATGAACTATTTTAGCTTTATACCTAAATACATTCATAAATGAACAAAGTGTTATGCTGTGAAGACATTCTTTTTTTAATTTCCCTACAGTGGTGAATAAAAATAGGTATCTATTGTCAGGATACAATCATTTGTTTGGTGTAATACTGCCTAAAACTTCCTTGGAGGTGAGGGAGAGGGACATATTTTATTATAGTAAGTCCTGACATAGCATTTGGGAAGTTCCATACTTTACCATTTATTTTTACTTCTTATCATTTATAGGTGTTTTACAAAAATATGCTCAGAGATTGCTTAAGAAATATTTAACGTTCTGTGGTCAAATAAAATATTCTGTTTTGACTATTTATATGGATTGCATGTAATGGTATTAAAAAGTTATAAGGGCTGCCGATAATATGTACCATAAGTGCTACAACAAATGGTAGTTTTAATATTTGACAAATATTTTTAAGATTTAAATTTCTGTGTCATTCAGGCATGCTCACTATACACTAGGAGGCAGTATCGTCCCAACTTTTTTATAAGGATTTGGCAATAGATAACATTTGTAGAAATTGTTTCAAGTTATGTTTTATAAACAAATATTAAAATGCATTACAAAATGTTTAATGAAGGCCTAGAAAATAGTTCAAAGTTAAATCCATTTGAATTATTATGTCATTTAAATAACGTTAATTTTTTTTTTAAGTCTTAATTTTGACTTTGCATTTTGAAAAAGAATAGCTTGTTAAGGAAGAGTTCAGTTATTTTACTTCCAAATTAAATACTTACGTGTTTGGAACAGTAGGTCTTCTGCCAGCAGACATAATTTGCTTATCAGTACTTGGTGTATGGGCTTGTAAGAGAATTTGTTTCTGATTATTAGTACAGTCCTGGAATATTGTTTGTAAAATACATTAATTAATAATTTGAATAGTTATTAGTAGGTTATTAAATATTTCAAAATATTTTTATAATTACACAGATTATTTGTAAACTCATATAAATGTGTTGATTCAGCCTTTCCTTATCCCTCTATCATATATTTTAGTTTCATTAGTAGTTTCTTTGTCCTTATATTTTTTCTTTTTTTTTTATTTATTTAAATAATCTCTACACCCAATGTGAGGCCTGAACTCAGGACCCCAAGTTCAAGAGTTACATGCGCTTCTGACTTAGCCAACCAGATGCCCCACCTCTTTGTCCTTACATTTTTTTCTAACATGGTTCCTTTCTTATCTCCTCGCCACCCCCATAGTTAATAAAGTTATTTTGTGTGAAACAAATGGGCACATGCCCTGGTTTTCAGATGTGGAAGCTCTTTAATATTTATTAACCTCGCTTTATTCTTTCTCACTTTCTGAATTCCTTAGAACTTACGCTTAAGCCTATGCAGCTATAATTACTTGATTGCTTGCACACGTTGTGTTCTATTATTTGGGGCGTATATTGTTTGTATGTTTGCCTTTTTCTCTCCCCTGTCGGGTTAAAACCTTTCTACACTTTCTAGCTTTCTCTAATTTGACCCTTATGTTTGCATTTTTTAATAGGGCAAGTTTTAAAAAAACAACTTGTTAATTCAAGTGACTACAACTGTATTTTTTTAAGAGCATGAACCCTAAATGCCATATAACCCTACCATAACAATAAAATTGCTATTTTGGGATATTCAGAGGATATAATGACTAGCTTATCCAGAAAAGATGCTCAGTAGTCTTAACACTGTCGATTTCTGCTTAAGACTTTTAAAAATTAAAAATTTTAAGGACAAGTATCTACATCAGTGCTGTCCAGTAGAAATTTCTGTCATGATGTTCTGTTGTCTGCACTGTCAAACATGATAGCCACTAGCCATATGTGGCAATTGGTCACTTGAAATGTGGCTTGTGTGACTGAGTTAACTGAATTTTTAATTGCTTTTAATTTTAACAATAGAAATCTCTATTAAAATCTCTGGAACATAGAGTATTAATAGTACTAAACTGGAAAATATATATGGGATGCCATTAGCTTTTGTATGTAGTAAGAGTTTTTTTTGTTTGGTTAGTTTTTTTTGATGAGAAAATTAAAGATACAGGAAATCCTCTTATAGTGCAACACTGTTCTAACATGTATAGTTTTAGTGGGTTTTTTTTAATTTTATTATGTTAATCACCATACATTTCATCATTAGTTTTTGATGTAGTGTTCCATGATTCATTGTTTGCGTATAACACCCAGTGCCCCATGCAGAGCGTGCCCTCTTTAATACCCATGACCAGGCTAACCCATCCCCCCACCCTCCTCCCCTCTAGAACCCTCAGTTTGTTTCCCAGAGTCCATAGTCTCTCATGGTTCGTCTCCCCCTCTGATTTCCCCCCTTCATTTTTCCCTTCCTACTAACTTTAATATATGTCAAGTCATATTCTTAGATTATGTGTACAGATGGTAAAAATTGATGCAGCTCTCCAAATGTCCCTATCGGCAGCTTTATGAAGACCTCACAGTATATTTGTATATACTAGATGCCAGCAGGCCCCCAGGAGATGATGGAACACAGGGTGACACTGTGTGACCTTCTCTTGATAAAGGATGTCAAATCACATTCAGACCAACAAAGAGGATAATCTTAAAAGGGAAAAAGTAAATCACGGCAAGATTAGTTTGCCGTCTTGGGAATGGGTATGGTAGAGAGGAGGGACTTTTGTCTTCTTGAGAGGTGACAGAGAGAAACACATTATAGGTGTGATTGCATGTACTATATGTCTATTCTGGGAGTAAGACCACTGCCTGGTTTGGATTCCAGCACCACCAAGTTAGATATATGAAATTGGGAGAGTTCTTTAACCTCTTTAAATCTGTTTTCTCATGTGTGAAATGAGACTCAGCATCATAAACAAGACGACAAATGTAACACAGTTAACAGTGTTAACATTGTTGTAGATTTGTGACCTACGGAGTCATTCTCAGAACTGTATGGTCATGCTTACTTTATGAATTTGAAACCTCCTGATCTACCTGGAGGAAACTGGATTTAAGGCCTCCCTGGGTTCTGCTGTATTCAGTATGTGACAGATTATTTGAGCCATAGGTTCTTATACAAGCTAAGAGAATTTCTTCTTATTCTAGCTAACATGAGTACATATGTAGATTATTTTCCATCTTTCCCTATTGTCCTTTTCCTTTAAGACTAAATTAAAGCAAATAGAGCCTAAAGAAAATAGTAATGCACAAAATAATGACAATTCCTTTGCTGTTGCTGTCACATATATCTACTTAGGTCCTAATTTCTTTCCTTTCGTTTTTGTTGAGTCTTAGCCCACTTATTTTCGCCACTATCTCTAAATGTGGTTGCCTTCTTATATCCCAAATCAGATTTTTCTTGTTGAGTCCTACATATATCTGTTTTTCAGATTGTGAAACTAGCTATTTATGGCATGCTGCCAAAAAACCTTCACAGAAGAACTCTGATGCAGAGATTGCATCTTTTCCCAGATGAGGTAAGTCAGTGGTCGTTGGTAATGATGCTGCAACAAGGAACATGGCCAGAGCCCCTGATAAATTGAGGGTATTCATTGCTAATTTCATCAGCTATAAAAAGCATGAATTTCATATACATTTTATGTGACTAGTAGCAAACCTTGTTTGAATCATGGATTAATAACTCAGTTTTGGTTGCTAATTATTTTCCTTGATTTAATTTTAGAATACTTGTTCCTAACTCAAAATTTATTCAGCTAAAAAAGTATTTGAAAAAAATAGTTTTATTTATTACTATTAAACTATTTTAAGTCCTTAGCTTTTCTCTTTAGTATAATGTAATGAAACAGTAGAGGTTCTATAATAAAATAGTTGAGTCCAGGCTCTGGAATCAGACTATCTGGATTAGAATTCATGCTCCACCATTTACTGACTTTATGGCCATGGGTAGTTACTTATTATCTCTGTTTTCTCATCTGTAAAATGGAAATAAGGGTACCTACTTTACAAGATTGTGGTAAGGGTCAAATGAGGTGACATTTGTAGAGCACCTAGAATAGGCCTGACATAGTAAGTGCCATCATTACCATGATTGTGATTGTTGTCCTTATAGTTACTACTAGAGGAATAATGTAGAAACTAATTCCAGAATACGAAGTTATATCAACTATTTAAGGCACTGTGTGCTCTATCTAGTTAGCTTAATGCATGAGTAAATTACTCAGGCTTTTATCAAAATGGTTAATGTATTACCTTTGCTTTGCATGAATGAGTAGAATTTTCCAGTATTCACTTTACCTCTGAGGTAACAAGTATGGGAGCTATGTCATCATCTAAAAATAAATGACTTTCATCAAATCACAATATTAAATGTTGTGTTTCTGATTGTACTGTCGCATTTTTTTAGAATCTGTACTTTCTAAAAGACACACACACACACACAAAATGTGTGGATATAGATAGATATATAATCTTAGTTATAAGGCAGTCAGGTTTGAATGTGGATTTTTTGTTTTCATGGTAGTTCATTTGAACAGCAAATTACTTAAATAGTTTCAGACTATAAAATTAATGGGCCCATTTCCCCAAAAATGGATTGTCAAATATTCAAAAGCTTCATAGCACATTTTGTTGTCCAGGCCATAGGGAAATAGACATTCATAGATTGCTGGTAGGTATACAAAATGGTGCAACCGATAAGGAATCTGAGAATTAGGTAACATTACATATAATACAATACATACATAAGGAGATTCATGCTTCATTCAGCAATCTGTTTACTCTGAAGATACACAAAATTATTGTTTCCACCTTATTTATAATAGTAAAATAATAGAAATAAGAGTTTATTCATAGGTGATTGGATAAACAGTATTACATCCATTCAGTTGAGTATTATGTAATTATAAAAAAAGAATGCCAAATATTCTTGTGAATTGATGTTTTCCAAGACATATTGGTAAGTGAAAAAAGGCAAGGTGAAAAAATACAGATAGTATACTACCTTCTCTATGCATATATACATATATATGTTTACACACACATACATACTATATCTGCTTTTTTTTTTATATCTGCTTTTTGCATAAAGAAACTCAGGAAGAATAATTGAGAAGATAAAGTTGGCTACTTACTGCAGCATGGGCACAAAGAGATGGAAGGAGTAGGGAAGAGAATAAGGTTTTTGGAGAATGCCTTTTAGATTTTTTTTTTTTTTTTACTTTAACTTTCTTATGTTAAGATTTTTATTCAAGGGGCACCTGGGTGGCTTAGTCGGTTGAGCATCCGACTCTTGATTTCAGCTCAGGTCATGATCTCAGATCGAGCCCCACCTTTGGCTGCGTGCTCAGCTTGGAGTCTACTTGGGATTCTCTCCCTCTCTTTCTGCCCTCCCCGCTGCTCGCACATGCTCTCTCTCTCTCTCTCTCTCCCTTTCTCTCTCTCTAAAAATAAATAAATAAAATCTTTTAAAAAATAAATAAAAATTATATGACAGCACTAGTAGAATTAAGTACAACTAGTGCCCAGATCTCGTTTTCTAAATGCTATTCTTTATTAAAAGGAACCTGGTTCTCATTGGAGAAATGGTTGATTCTAGGTCTGGAGCAGAGAAAGAACGAAGTTATTATGGAATATACATATGTACATAATTATTATTTCTGCATTGTTTATGCTGGTAAAATAATAAGTAACAGAAAGTAAGGCAGTGCTCAGAAATGGATGGAGAAATACCAAGAGAACATGGGAGGCATTTTGAATTGGTGCCCACTGACCAAATATGGGACTTTGTGAGCCTCAAAATGAATGGTAATAATAATGGATTACATTGAGTAGAAGACAAAAATCTGTGAGCCCATGATGATAGTCCAAAAATTATTTTTACCTTGTGATAATTTCCCTTTCTTTTCTGGAGAAGGAAAAGCTTTTCTTTAGAGAAGAATATCATCTAAAAAATGTAGAAATAATACTGAATTAGAAAAGCCACCATTATCAGCATATTCTGTAGTCACTGGGTGAAAGATTATTGTAGAACAAGATATTCACGCAATTTCAAAACATGTCACAGAGTACTTACTATTTGAAAGGAGAAAAGATACTTTATGTTAAAGATACCTGGTGGACACCAACATAACCAAGAGATCAAACATATCATTGGTATGGGACAGACTGACATCATGTGCCTCCTGCTATGAAGAAAGCACTGAAGACTCAAACTATATATTTAGCGTTCTGTCAAAAATGTTTAACCTGACTTTAATGAGGAAACAATCCAACAAATCCAAATAAAAGGGCATTCTACCACATAATTGGCCTGGACTCTTCAAAAGTGTTAATTTTTTGAACAACAAAAAGCAGGGAAGGGCTTTGTGTTAAAAGAGACTAGACTGAAGAACTTATTATGTATGTGAAACAACATGGTAACAGCATAATAACTAAATGTAGCATGTGATCCTTGACTGGATCTTAGACTGAAAAAAAGATACATAAGACAATATTGTATCAGTTTGGAAAATTTGAATATATACTTATATATCAGACAGAAAGTATTTCATCAATGTTAATTTTCCTAAGCTTGAATTTGTAATGTGGTGACATAGGAGACAATCCTTGTATTTAGGAGATAGATGCTGAAATACTTAGGGATGACGTGTTTACAACTTACTCTCAAATGGTTCAGCCAAAATGAAAGTTTGTGCGTGTTTGTATATAGGTGAAAAGAAGGAGAGCAAACATGTCCTCTTTTGACAGTTGGGGCCAAATTTAGGTGAAGGTTAGAGGAATGTTTGCTGTACTCTCACAATTTTTCTGTAGACTTGAAATTTCTTTAGAAATTGAAAAAAGTAATAACTGATCACCTTGCCCCCTGTTTATTCCACTCATTCTTCTCCTTATTCGCCCCATTTAGGTTGATCATTCCCTCCATGCAGCGGGCATGATTAAATTTCTTGAATCTCCATGATCACATTCAGTTAGCATGTTTGGGTTACCTTCTCAGTGTGCAGATTAAAGGAGGCACTTTCCCTCTTCCTGGTTTCATGTGTAATGCCTAATCAACAACTTTCATTCCTCATTTTGCAGTGTTTTAATCCATTCTTTCAGTAAATTGCTCTAAGAGTGGGGAAAATTTGTAAGCTCGTTTCAGTCAGAATTCTCTTCAATTCGGCAAACATTTACTAACCCAGTATGTTCCACACCCTCTGCTGTGTAAGCACTTGGCAACTTTTTTAAAATTGTCTTCGTGAAAGATAGAGGGATCTTTTTCTTAATAGCTTCCCAAAAGAGTGTGAAATATTCATAAACTTTTAAAGATACCAAACTGGTAAGTAGACTTTTTCAGGAAGTAAAAAATTAGAGCAACTTAGTATTTATATGTCCAGGCATCCTCTCCTTGTTCCAGTTTTGTGTGATTAAACTTACAGATTTGAATACATCGGGAAGGGATGTCAAATATTTTTAAAATGCTTCTCAGTGAAGAAAAACATCATCAACAGTATTTATTGTATTTTGTATGTATTGGTAGTGACTCACCCTATACAAGCCATAATTTTAAAAAGCCAACCTAAGTTTTTTAAATATTATTAAAATTTTGCCATATTAGATTTTAGAACAAGTTTATAATGCCGTAGAGCTCTGATTCTTTAAAGCTATTTTAAAATTATATTTTGATTCTTAAGATGTTGACTGTTTCGGGCCCATGTTCTTGCCCAGATATTTGATTCCCAATTATGATACGCTCTTTGCAGAGAATTGTAATTTACTATATAACTTTTTTAACGTTTAGGAATATACTGTTATGAAAAGAGGGAAATATATCTACTGTCCCTGTGGAAATACTCATAGGATGCTTTCATAATGACATCCAACCATTATTCCAGTAGAGTCTCCAAAAATAACTTAACCATCCAGACTCACAAGACAATTCCCTTTCCCTGTGTCTGTATCGTGAGCACAAAATAAATGTAAATTCTTTTGGTTACTCAGGCTCTTCATTTTATCATTTCCTTTACTTTAGTAGTTCAATTTCTGTTCTTCTTTCAAATATGTCTCAAATATATGCTTTACTTTTTTTTTAAGATTTTATTTATTTATTTGTCAGAGAGAGAGAGAGAGCACAAGCAGGGGAAGCTGCGGGCAGGGGAAGAAGCAGGCTCCACACTGAGCAGGGAGCCCGATGCTGGACTCTATCCCAGGACCCTGGGACCATGACCTGAGCTGAAGGCAGACGTTTAACCGACTAAGCCACCCAAGCATCCCTATGCTTTACTCTTTAGTTTACTTTTCATTACCCGAATTCAGACTTTTTTGCATTTTATTTTTCCTTTCATTTTTCTGAATATTTGAATATATTAACCAGGGGAGAGTCATGGGCAGTGGGAATGCCATTAATAAAGGCACCAGGATTTCAGTGTGGAACAATGCATGAAAGGCAAGGAGGCTGATAACTCAGACACCATGGACGGGTGTGTGTGAAGAGGTGAAGTCGCAGAGATGGCCTAGGAGTGAGGACACTGGTTTGAGAAGTGACATTTTTAAAATTATAAGCCTATAGAGGCCATCATCTTTTTATTCCCTTTTATATTCTGAGCACCTAGCACAATTTCTGGTTCATAGAAGCAGTTCAGTTAATGTTTGTTGGCTAAATGACTCAAAGATCCAGCAGGTTTTCATTTTCCAAAGTTTTTTCTGGCAACAACATGGAGTATGAATTGAAAGGTTGTGTCTCTGTAAGCCACAGACCCAGTACATCCACTCAATCAGATGAAAAATTATGAGAATCAGCCAAGGCAGTGCCTTTCTGCTGTTGAAAGGCTGGGAATAAATTAAACAGTTTAGAAAAAAATTGATAGAACTTAGTGACTCGATGGTCCTCAGAATTGAAGATATCTCACATACCATGAGAAATAGGTTTGTCAAGATTAAAATATAAGGTACAGTATTATAATGAGATTACTTTTTTTAAGATTTTATTTATTTATTTGGCAGATAATGAGATTACTTTTATCATTAATATACTTTTCAGGGATTTTCATGGATTTATAAAGATTGTATTGTGTTCCTCATTCTATAAATATTCTTCTGTTTGTAATTTTTTAATATTTATTAAGTATTACTAATTTATTACCAAGGGATGTATTTTAAGAAAATTAAGCCTAAATTTTATTTAACCTAGGACATACCAGAAGATATTCGTAAGAATTTGGTGGAAGAGCTTCCTCAACCACGAAAAGTACCCAGACGTCTAGATGAGTACACGCAGGAAGAAATAGAGGCTTTCCCAAGAGTGTGGTCTCCGTAAGTCTTTTCTCTTTCCTGTCTTTTTTTTTCCCCCCTGTTTTTTTCTTAAGCTCAGTTTAGTATCCCCTGTTCCCTTAACCAAATGACCAAAGATCCTTGAGGGTGGGAAGAGTGAACTTTTTTTTACTCCCCTGGATGCTCTTTCCATCTTCGACCTGCAAATAAATTCTAGATGTTGGTATTAGAACCAAAAAGTCTCTAAGTCTTAAAACCTTGCTGTGTACATGCAAGGGTGTTCATAGGTACCTATAATTGTCAGATATTTTGTTTGGGATGAAATTACTTAGATTGATTGTGGTCTCTTGGAATGATAAATAAAGTCATTACCAATTTCCAGATTGCTTCACTAAGCTTGAGAATATCGTCTAATGAAAAGTCATCAATTCTGGATAATTAATAGTCCTGATCCAAATAGAAAAACAAAATAACATTAATTTTAGCCATTCTGACTGGTGTGAGGTGGTATCTCATTGAGGTTGGTGATGGGTATTAAAGAGGGCACGTTCTGCGTGGAGCACTGGCTGTTATGCACAAACAATGAATCGTGGAACACTACATCAAAAACTAATGATGTAATGTATGGTGATTAACATAACAATAAAAAAATTTAAAGAGAAAAAAAAGAAAAACAAAATAACAAACACTTTTTGCTATCCTCTACACAATTTCCTCTGTCTGAGGTCCGGAAAGCTGCGTGGTGTTGACATACTATCTCCCATCTAATTGTTTGCAGGGTCTTCGTGACCTGGTTCCTCTCTGTCTCTGAAGCTTAACTTCTTCCCACTTCACCGGTCTAACAATAGCAGTCTGTTTAAGATTGTCACCCTTTTTACACAGTTTAATTCTTCCTGGTCTTTGTTTTGCTTCACTTTGCCTAGAACAACATGTCCCTCCCCCATGCTCTGAAATAACTCTTAAGTCATTCTTTAGACCTTAGTTCTGATACCACCACCTTTAAGAAGCCTTGTGTAAACATCAAGACCAGACTAAGTGCCCAGCCATCTTCTGCCATAGCACCTGCTTTGTAACTCTGTCCTTACCACAGTCAGCTCATCAAGAGCAAGGGCTGCATCTTGCTCATCACCGATCCTCAGTGCATACAACAGTACTTCATCTAATGGGGACTTGGGAACATTTAAGAATTTATGCAGTAGATCTGAAAGAGAACCTCACATCCTTATTGCTGGATCTACCCTAGACAGCTCGTCTTCCCACAGACGCTACCCTCTGTGCTCTGAAAATTCTTATCTCCTTATTGGCTCTTTGGCCAGATTGGTTTGTGAAAATAGAAGCCTTCCCAGCATTGTCAGTATGTCCAACAATCCAATCCGTGACTCTCTCATTATTGCGTGTATATAATCTTCAGACTCCACACAGAGAAGTCTGTAGGGTATTCTCTTTGAATCTTTTTGATTTTGCTGATTTTTATCAAGGTTCTCCTTTACTAAATCTGCAGATGAAGAAAATAATATAATTATTAGTGACCATTTATTATAGTGACTATTTGTCACTACATAGTGACTTTCCAATTGCCCAACACAGTGCTAGGGAGTTCACATGGATTGTATTTAATTCTCTCCACAAGCCTCTGAGATAGATCTTTTATTCCTATTTTGAAGAGTAAGGCAAGGGTCATCTGGTTTATTAGCCTGCATTTGAACCCAACTGTCTGATTCCAAAGCCTATGTTCTTTCCACAGAAGCAAACTGCCTCATTAATTTTTTTTTCAACAAATATATTTTAGCTGGGGCGCCTAGGTGGCTCAGTTGTTAAGCATCTGCCTTTGGCTCAGGTCATGATCCCAGGGTCCTGGGATCGAGCCCTGCATCGGGCTCCCTGCTCCGCGGGAAGTCTGTTTCTCCCTCTCTCACTCCCCCTGCTTGTGTTCCCTCTCTCACTGTGTGTCTCTGTCAAATAAATAAATAAAAATCTTAAAAGAAAAAAAAATACATTTTAGCTATCTCTTCTGTACAAGACACTGTCATAGGCACTGAGACACATGTTGGAGAAATTCCATTAAAAACATTATTTAGGGGGTGCCTGGGTGGCTCAGATGCTTAAGCGTCTGCCTTCGGCTCAGGTCATGATCCCGGGGTCCTGGGATCGAGCCCCAGGGAGCCTGCTTCTCCCTCTGCCTCTGCCTCTCTCTCTCTCTCTCTGACTCTCATGAATAAATTAAAAAAAAAAAAACATTTAGGGGCGCCTGGGTGGCTCAGTCGTTCAGTGTCTGCCTGCGGCTCAGGGAGCCCCACATCAGGCTCCCTCCTCCAAGGGAAGCCTGCTTCTCCCTCTCCCACTACCCCCTGCTTGTGTTCCCTCTCTCGCTGGGTCTCTCTCTGTCAAAAAAATAAATAAAATCTTTAAAAAAAACAAACAAAAAAACACATTTGATTCAGCTGCACAAACTTTTATTGAGTTTATCCTATGTGCTAGACATTTGGGTAGATGTCTGGGCTATATAGATGGTGAAGCATTTAAATGTAACTTCCTCCAGAAGTCCTTCGTATAATCCGTGAACTGGCTTAGGCCCCCTTTATAGAGTCTCATTGTACACTTTCCTTTTCGTTTACTGCATTTATTCTAATGTAATTAAGTATCTGTGTGATTTTTTTTTTTGTTTAATATCTTTCTCTAACTAGATTCCGTGAGGGAACTCCATGTTGTCTTATTTACCTGAGCATAGCATCTGGCACATTAAGTAGGCATTCAGCAAATATTTATTGAATGAATAAATGAAGAAGCAAATATCCTTGTATCAGCTTTTATAAATGACGTTAGGAAAGAATCTCTAGAAGATACGAACTGAAGGTAGTAAAATCCTCCAATTTAATACTAGTTCTTCATGCTAGAATCATTGAAATTGACTAGCTTTGAAAACATTATGTTTGTTTCTGTTCACTGTATATCATCTGAATCATCAATTTTTAGTTGATAGTAAATGAGTGATTAACAAAACTCTATATGAAAAATTGAAAGAACTGATTTTATGGTGTCTGATATTAATACCAGCTAGTTATCAGGATACATCCTCATGATAAATATTTTTCCCTAAAATAAAGAAGTACATTTTCCATCACTCCTTAGGTTCTGGTTTTCATTGCTTGACGATGACCAGAAACTATACATTATGTGACGTGATTTGATTCTAACAACTAAGTTTAGTGTGGCGTGGTTGTCTCCTTCTTTTGACCTTTTTAGATGCCTATTTAATATTTTCCTTCTTTTCAAAACCCAAGAGTCTATTTTAATTCTTCTTATTAAAATTCATTTTCTTGGGGCACCTGGGTGGCTCAGTCATTAAGCGTCTGCCTTCGGCTCAGGTCATGATCCCAGGGTCCTGGGATCGAGCCCCGCATCGGGCTCCCTGCTCGGCGGGAAGCCTGCTTCTCCCTCTCCCACTCCCCTGCTTGTGTTCCTGCTGTCACTATCTCTCTCTCTCTCTCTGTCAAATAAATAAATAAAATCTTAAAAAAAAATAAAAGATAAAAACAAAAAAATAAAATTCATTTTTTTATCCAGATTATGTAGTGATTTATTTAGATAAATCAGTAGTTTCTGAAAATAAAAGGTTTTACATGCTGTGATCTTTACAGTTCTTCCCCCTTTGGCATCTGAGAGATGAGACTTCTGTACTTGGAAAAATTTTATACTTTTGGAAAAATAATTTTAATTTAACTTGTTCTTAAATGACTTACATGGTCATTTATTCCAGACATATTCAATGTGCCTTTTCCTCCTTAAACTACATAGAACTTATATGTATCTTTACAACTGAACCCACATATACAGAACATTTTTCTAGGAAGACGTAAACAGTTTTTTAAATTCTTTTAAAGAGATGTACAATTTGCCACAAATTGAAATTAATCTCTAATTTATGAAAAACATTTACTAGCTTAAATTTACCACCCTGGAATTCACATAATATAGTCTTTAAACTCAAGCATTCGATTAAAAACTTTCACTTTGGGGGAATTAAAAAGTATTTTTTTTTAAAGATTTTATTTATTTATTTGATAGAGAGAGACACAGCAAGAGCAGGAACATGAGCAGGGGGAGTGGGAGAGGGAGAAGCAGGCTTCCCGCCGAGCAGGGAGCCCGATGTGGGGCTTGATCCCAGGACCCTGGGATCATGACCTGAGCTGAAGGCAGACGCTTAACAGCTGAGCCACCCAGGTGCCCTGGAATTAAAAAGTATTAAATGAGGGCTCCTGGGTGGCTCAGTCAGTTCAGTGTCTGCCATTGGCTCAGGTCATGATCTCAGGGTCATCAGATTGAGCCCCACAATGGGCTCTGTACTGAGCAGGACTCTGCTTGAGATTTTCTCTCTCCCTTTGCCCCTCCCCTTGCTCTTGCTCTCTCTCACTAAAATAAATAAATCTTTTTTTAAAAAAGTGTTAAATGTTCATTGTAGAAACTGTGAATAAGATACAAACTTAAGGAAGTAAATAATCTCACCACAGTTAAAATTTTGGTGTGTTAGCTTCCACTGTTTCTTTGTGTTTGTGTGTGTGTCTATGTCTTATATTTTTTATCCTCATTTTTTCATAAAAAAGGAAATGTGGACACAGAAATCTGAAAAGTAATTTGACTAAGATCACAGGATTGTTAAATGGTGGATTAGGGATTCAAGCCTAAGGGCATCGTCCTAACCACTCTGCCTGAGTGCCTCTTGTAGCATCTTATGTGAGTGTACTTAAGTCATATGTAGTTCTCAAATATTTTGCTTTAAAAAGTTACATCATAAAAAAGTATTTTAAATATTCTTTGGATTTTGGTAGGTTACCATGCTGTATGAAGTTCTGGAAGTCTAAGAATGTCGTACCTGTTTTTTTTTTTTATAGAAACACCATCATAAATGAATTTATATTCCTAACCAAAAGGGGCATATGGTACTTTTTTTTTTTTTAACTAGAAATACCAAAGGTGCTATTTAATCAAATATGTGCTTATTTGGGTTATGCGTTTAGAGTTGTATATCATGAATAAAGAGTACT